TGGAGAGAAGTAACCAAGAGAGGGTATGTGTTGGAGGGAGTGGCTGAGACTTCCTGGGGTCCTTACCTGGGCTCCAACTATAAGAGGGATATGGCAGTCAGTAACTCAAGCTAATTCATTCATGTGGCTCAACACATTTAATTTAGTATCGCTACTAACCAAGTGTGAAATCAGGAAGAAATATAGAGCTTAATGTGTGATAAATAGAAAACGATTAGTACCACATATGTTAATGTCCTTGGTTTTTCAGTATCATTTCAAAAGGCACAATGTTAAAAAAAAAAGTCTTTCAATTAAATTTTGGCACTTAAAAGTTAATAGTTAGCTAAAATAGTTAATTTATTATTATCATTAAAATTAGAATTGTTTTAAGACCTTTGGAAATGAGATTTCCTTTTGTTTCTAGTCCAAGAAGGGTTTATTTTTGTTGATCTTCTTGGCCTGGTGTAAAATCTATCTTTTGAGATTGGCATTCCCCAGTGACTAAGTGGTGAATTATGCTGTCTGGAAAGTTATTGTGAGTTCCACTGTGGTTTTGGTTCAGTAGGTTTTTATGTATTTTTACAAATTTTGTACATATACCCAGAGGCTTTTTGGCAATGGCTACATTTTGACATTCAAGAAAATAAATATGAGCCATTTAACGGTCTCCAATTCTAGATTTAGCATTTTAAATATATTGAAATATGTATATGAGGGATTTTCTGAAACTTGGAATGGATACAAATTTAGCAAAGATTTTTTACTAATGTTATGAAAAAGTTCTTTCTTTGCAGCTCATTGATTGTATGTCCTTTAGGTCTCAAGCATTATATTTTGAATCTCACCTCTGGCTCTTAGAGGAAGTATACTTAATATTCTGGATATTTATTTTGTATTTCTTGTATCTGGTTAAGACCAATGCTAATTGATTTAACCTATTCTTGGGAAAATTCTCAAGCTTACAGTTAACATGAATTATGGTCAAAACATAGTAAAATGCAAAAAGCTGTCCTTGGGAATGAAGAAAATTTATTTTTTAACTAAAGCATAGTATTTCAAGAGTATAAAAGATGTATTTGCTAATTCCTCCCCCCCCCCAGCGCTTGTCAAATTTAAATAATCCGCTTGCAAAATAAAGCCAAATAACATGTTATATTGAAAATTCAATTTATAGTGAAATAAAATCCTGTAACTCTCATATGTATTATTAGCCCCCCAAATTGACTGTTCATCATGTAAGTTAATTAATATCAACCAAAGGAATCTTATGATTATTAATGGTAAAAATTTACCATAGTCAGGATTATGTAACATGCACCTTGGGACTTGCCTCTGCCCTAGAACATGGGAACCTGTTCAGCAAGTGACGACACACACTGTCACATAGGTCATGGCAGTATTTGAATGAAGGGGTATTATTTTGTGCATAATTACAACGAGATCATGCCGTGACAGAGGCATATGAAAGTGTCGAAGGCAGCAGCAGTAGTTTGAGGCCTAGGATCCCTGGTTCTATTGTTCTTTTCTGCCTCATGGTACCTTCATTTTGGCCCCTGTCTCCTCATCTGCCCAGGGATGTCAGCAACTCCTGTCTGCTACCACCTCGAAATGTTGTCAAGGATCTCATATTTTGCTTGGTAATCCCTTGAGATCTTTGGATGAAAAGAACCATAAAAATCCAAAATGTTTTTCTAGGTGGGGGTTTCCAAAATTGGTCCCTTTGAGGGAGCCACCCACTTGGATATTGAATACCCTCCCTGTGTAATGTGGAAAAAGCGGTTTGGTGAAAATTTGCTCTTTTAGCATCACCAAAAAAACAGACGTCTTCATTGTTTAAAGTGAAACACACCCATTGGGGATCACTTCATCATTTTTTTAAGTGAATGAAAACATCACAAGTTGAACTGATGAAATGCAGGATAAGTGCAAACAGACTACACCCTTCCTCTTTTGGTCTCAAGGAGCGGTGTTCTGCCAATTCTCCCCATCGCACCCTCCCTGTCTAGCAAAGGGCCCTCGTTGGCTCACAGACCATGTCAGTATCTGAGCTACAACTAATCATGCCACTGTTGAGTCACCAACAGAGAATCCCACAGACTGCTTGCTTTCCTCTTTGTGGTGTAGGGCGGTGATTTGAAAGACAATCTTTTCCCTGTCATTTCTTCTCTTTTCGTCTGCGTCATTTTTTTCCCTTTTTTTTACTGTCTTTTCTTCCAAGATTAATTATCATCCCTCTCTTAACCTATCCTTTCCTAATCTCAAGGACTATTTTAGAAGGATGCTTGTTCACCAGATGATACTCTCCAAGGACTCATTTGGAAAAAATAACAGTGTTTTCTGTCCCTCCAGCTGCCAAAAGTCATCGTGAGTCATGATTTTGACTCGATTTACAGAAATACTTAATATAAATAATTGGCCTTTCCCAGAGTTGCTTCTTAGTTGCTATTCCATCTTGTTGATTTCAACAGACTGATAGGATGCAGCATTTGACCAGAGTAGCTTCCTGGGTCCTAAGTCCTTTGTATTTTTCTGTCGCTATTACACTTTTCTAAAGCAACAGATGGAGTGAGTGATAAGCAAAATAAATGATTGTCAGTGAGCTCTAGAGATCTTGTTTGAAACATTCTTATAAGGCTACTCCTCAAAACTGAATGGGGTTCCATATGCCTAATAAGACATTAGGTAACATACCTTCTGAACGATATTATTTCTAAATATTATTATTATTTAAGATCATTCCTCAATAATGTCATTAATACAACTCAATATTAGTTAACTTTGGAACCATGAAGAGAAACTTTTTCAAATAGACAAAATATTTGATTTCTTACTGTATTATGTTTCACAGAGACCAGAGGAGCTATTGCTGATATTCACTATTTACCTTGCCAAGGAACTTTTTAAAAGTTGAAAAGGTGACTATCATACAAATCTAGAATACATATGGCAAGGAATTCTTTCATTCATTAATGAGGTTTATCCGTCAGGATTCAACCAGGTGGGCTTGATTTATTCTGTAGGAAGGTCTTCAAAAGTGTTTAAGCCTTTTCTGAGGACACACCTTGGGCCCTCTTGGGTTCCAGACTGCTCTTAATCACCATTTCCCAGCTATCTGTGCAGAATAAGGAATATGGATATACTCTCTTCCAAATGTATACTTTTGTTTATTTTGTTATTCCAAGGAATTGCCATATATTGTGGAGATTGGTTAAGCAAATCTGAAATCACATAGGTCAGAAAGTCAAGAAGTGATGACCACAAACAGGCTGGTACCCAGAGGCACGGGCCAAAGTTTTCTAGGCCCAGGCAGTGGGGACGCAATGATTAGGAGTAGCCCAGAATCCAACAGGGCCTAAGGTATATCTTCAGGAAAGGCTTAAAAACTTTTTAAGAACTTTCTACAGAATAAAGCAGGCTCACCCTAAGTAATCTCCCTAATTTAAAGTGAACGTATTAGGTACTTTTTTTATATCTGCAAACTCCCTTCACAGCAACTAGGTGGGTTACTGCTGGTTTGATTGGGTAAGCGGGAGGACACAGGTTCATGACACAAAGTGACTGCTACTTTCTTCCTGTACTCCAGCTCTCATGGAGAACTTCTGTAGTCTACCACCTCTGGAAATATGCCTGAAAGGCAATTCTGGAAAATGTAGTTTATCCTAGCCGAGTTGGCACACCACAAAGCCCGATGTGAATATTTATAGACTTTGCTATGGTCTGTATCCTCCCAAAATTTATGCATGGAGTCTTAACTCCCAGAGGTGGTGTTGTTAGGAGGTGGGGACTTCGGGGGATGATTAGGTCATGAGGGTGAGGCCCTCATGAATGGGATTAGTGTCTCATAAAAGAGCCTCCAGAGATATTCCCGGCCCTTTCTGCCAAGTGAGAACATAGTGAGATACAAAACTGGTTAATTTTTAATAAGGCAACAAAACTATAGCATTTGGATATACTCCTGTTTGGGGCCATCCTTTTTTATCAGACAGAATAATTTACATCTCTACCAAACACAGATCCACAAGTTAAGATGTAACTTCAAAAACTGTGAGACCTAATTAATGACAAAGAACAGGTAAAAGAGAAGGACCATAGGCCTAGATAAATCATCTTTACGTGAGCCCGTTAGATAATGTTCTAGTATGACTTTGAAAGGACACTCAGACTTCCTTTTTGTTTATTTCCAAACTTAGATACATTTTCTTAACAACTTATTATATGCTTTACCTTCTTTCATTATTAAAATGATAAACTTTTTTTTGAGGGTTTGGATGTCCTGAAATGTCATGTTCCATCTGTTTAATTAGAAATTAGGGTTGATTTTGCAGTGTAATGGTGAGATCTAGTCTTCTCTGATCTAGCTACATATAAAGTCAAACCCTGTATGGGCTCTTGCCATCTATCACAGGAGTCGTTCTGGGTGTATAGGAGAAGGTTCTCATGCTGCCCAGGTACATGGACCCCTTGAATCTATAGACCCTCAGCAATTAGAAAGGAGGGAAGAAGGAAAGTGAAATATTCTTATTTTACTTAAGACCCTGAATAAGTGTGATGGAAATCTTAGGAAGAGAGGATAGAAAGAGGAAAACAGAGAATCATTATTTTTACTTTGGCAATTTTTCCTAATTATTCAGTAAATGTTTTTAACTCTACATTCAAATGCACCATGAAGTGACAAATTTGGGGAAAAATGAAAGACATCATTTGTGCAGAATTTTTCTTCACTTGAGTTAAAACAACAAATACTTGTATAGACTTACTATATTTTTTGTTGAGATCTTTAAAAACAATTGTTTAAAAGGATGTTCACCACTTAAGATTCTACATGTTGTAAATAATAGCAAATCATATCTTAAACTAAAAATGCTAGTGTTATGAACAAATTCATATTGATACATGTCCAAACTACTGTTTTACTTCAGATGTTTTCACAAATCACTGCACTAGATATATAACAAACATCCAACACATTTCTTTTTGACTCCTTCTCAGTCATCATCTAATCAGATGGCAAATCATTATTTTAAAATTAAAGATTTTTCCACATGATGTTGCAGAAGTGAGGGCAACCAGTTTTGATAAAATAATTCTGATGGTAAAAATGTATTAGCCTTAGAAGCTGCTGAGGTGGTCCATTCTATTCTGATACAGGGTTAATTAATTAATCAATTTACTAATTAAATTCAAAGATTTTAGTTGTTGTTTTGTTTTGTTTTACTTTCTGGCTTAAAATGCTTCCATGATACGCATTGCCTACTGGCTCCATGCTACCTACTTAAGCATAGTAGTCAGGACCCTTTATGACCCAGACCTTATTACCTCTCCAATTTATTTTTTTGGCCAAATAGTCAGGTGCTATGTACAATATACCTCTACCAAAAGTGAAAGAAAATAAAGACTTGTCATTTTGCAAATCCTCATATGAGCCTTTCTGAATCATATTTTCTTGTATGATTACCTCTGCAAGAAATGCGTTTTACCCATTGTCATTCTGGGGAATTATTCATCCTTTAAAATTCAGCTTAGGGTCTTTTTTTCTAACTTTTCATTATTCCTGCCTCTTCCATCCAGGCAGCTAAGTAATGTTCTTCTAGGTTCTCCTGGCCATCTCTGGGGATCACTCTGTTATAGCTCTTACTTTATATAGGGTTGGCAAAAATAGGTTTACAGTTGTTAGCATGGAAAAAGGACATGCAGGTTATGATGATTACAAGAGCTTTATTAATCCTGTATTTCTCATACTCTTAACTGTGAACCTACTTTTGCCCACACTTGGATCAGTGATGGGAGGGCGTATAGGCAGATTGTTTACTCCCAAGTGCAGATACTTTACCTTCTTTTCTTTGTTCCCTGAATCTAGCTCAGGGTTTAATTAGGTAATAGTTGCCTATTCAAAATCAACATTTGTTGGGTAGTAAATATAATCAGTTCCTCGAATCTGATGCCAGCTTTAGGAAATTAAAGCAGATAAGTAGAGAAGCCATTCACCTGAGGTCATGGATATTGTGTTATCTTTATTTACCGGTGGGTCTCAAATGTTAACCTGCTTCTGAATGTCCTTGTTAGAGTACACACTGCTTGGCTTCATTCCAGAGTTTTAGGTTCAGTAGGTCCTCGCTGGAGCCACAGCATTTTGATTTCTAACCAGTGTCCGGTTGCTGCTCCTGCTGCACAAAGGCCACTATTTAAAAACTCCTTCTTTGGCTCTGGCTGGTGCGGCTCAGTGGATTGAGTGCTGGTCTGCTAAACCAAAGGGTCGCCAGTTCAATTCCCAGTCAAAGCACATGCCTGGGTTGCAGGTGAGGTCCGCGGCTGGGGGTGCTCGAGAGGCAACCACACATGGATATTTCCCTCCTTCTCTTTCTTCACCCCTTTCTCTAAAAAATAAATAAGTAAAATATTTTAAAAATAAATAAAAACTCCTTTCTACTTACACACAAATGAAGATGCTAAATGGAAATATGTATATTTAATAAATGCTTATCCAACTCAATATTTTAGTTGTAAAGAAAATGTTAATGCAGAACATGACTTGTTCTGTTCATTTCTAGATCAAGAGAAATGGAAAGAATGGATACATTTTATTTCATTTTATCTAGGAAAGATTAGTCTGAGTTTTAAGGATAATTATACATTCTCCCACGCTCATCATTTTCCAATATCTTTATTAAGATATGCTTTCTTTTTTCTAATTCTTGCAATGTTAGTTTTTCTTTAAGCTAGTGTAGTAGAACTTGAACTTGTCAGGGGGCTGGGGAGAGGTGTTCAAGATAATCTAGGTTTTTGGTTTTTTTGCTTTAAATTTTGACTTAAAATGTTCCCATGATGCTCACTGCCTACTATATCTGCTGAAGTACGGTAGCCAAGGTCCTTTTTGATCTAGGCCCCGTTACCTCCAGTTTCATTTTTGGCCATGCGTTGTTAGGTTCTATGTGCAGTTTACCTCCACCGAAAACAATGTACTCAACCTCGCATGAGCCTCACCTTATGTTTCCAAACTGAAGTAAACCTATGAGTGGGGAGCCCCCCAAAAGGAATTTATTTATAAAAAATTCTGTATTTCTTCTTACATTTTTACACTTCAATCACCGTCAAAGTACTCTCCACTTGATGGAATACACCTATCGAGATGCTTTTTCCACTGCTCAAAACAGTTTTTGAACTTGTAGATTTTGATGCCTTTTAGCGCTTCTGCAGTTTTTTGTTTCACCTCTTTCACATTGGGAAAATGTTTCCCTTTGAGGACTTCTTCATCTCAGGAAGGGGCAGGGGAGAGTAAATGGGGGAAAAATGGGGCAACAGTAATTGAACAACAATTAAGAAAAGTAAAAACAAACAAAGAGTTGCTTGGTGCAAGATCTGGTGAATAAGGAACGTGGAGCATGGGGGTCATGCCATTTATAGGCAAACACTGCTGAACACTCAGCGTGGGGTGGGCAAGTGTGCTTGTAAATCGCCCATCATGAAATGGGCAAACATGTTGAAAATCTTCAAAAAAAATTAACTGAAGCTGAATGCAGCCCCTCACAACAATGCCAGCTAGCTCATGGATACAGATGCGTTAGTAGAATAGCCACCTAGTGGAGGAAACCTGTACTACAATGGCCCACCCTCCAGGAGATAATTCTGTTTTGGGTCCCCCTTCTATATAAAGAACGCTTAAAACTCAACAACAAAAAGACAAACAATAGGCCAAGGACTTGACTAGACATTTATCCAAAGATATACAAATGGCCTATAAGAACATGAATAGATGTTCAAAATCTTTAGTCACTGGGAAATGCAAATGAAAATTGCAGTAGTATTTTACCTCATCTGTGCTAGGATGGCTAATAAAGTTAGATAAGACAAAGATCTCAAGGTTTGGGCCATTCTTACTAAATACTATTCTTGCTAAATATTAAAATGTCTACAGATCAGCTGTAAACAGAATAAGCTTGATAGGAACCGAACATTGTTAGTGTAGCCAACTGCAAAGAAGAAAGTAACATGTGATTGACCAAATAGTGTACATAAGCAATGGCTAAGCCTTCCTTGGGGGAGACAGAGCTTTGGCTATAAATTCCTTGTCTCCTTTTACTTGCTGCAAATAAAATTACATTTCGACAACTACACTCGATTTTTTAATAGAGCACTCCAGTGCTAAACTCCTTGAATTCAATAACAACAATGAAAGAAAAAAAGACAATAACAAATGTTGTCAAGAATGTGGAGAAACTGGAATGCTCATACATGGCTGGTGGAACAGTAAAATGATGGGAAGTTAACGTGGGAAAGCAGTTTGGCTGTTCCTCAAAAAGCTAAATATAGAATTGCCACATGACCTAGCCATTCCACTCCTAGTCTATACACCAAAGAACCAAAAATGGGGATTCAAACAGATTTATATGTCAGTGTTCACTACAGCATTATTCACACTAGCCAAAAGGTAGAAACACCCCAAGTGTCCATCAACAGATGAATAAGCAAACAAAAAGTTGTAGCTATATAACAAAGGAATAGTAAGCCTTAAAAAGGAATGAAATTCTGATGCATGCAACAACATGAATGAATGTGGAAGACATTGTGTTAAGTGAAATAGTCAGACATAAAAGGACAAATATTTATGTGAATCCACTTCCATGAAATATAAGAATAGGCAAAGCTGTAGAGACAGAAAGTAGACTAAAGGTTAGTGGTTTCCTGGGGGGCAGGAAAGGTGGGTGAAGGAATAGCTGCTTGTGTGGCCCAGGAAAATGGCCAGGGAGAAACTGTGGAGGCTCCTGAGCAGCTGTGGTGACAAGGAGCAGCGTCTGGCTGCAAAGGTCCTCGATACCTTGTCCCTTTATTTCAACCCCTGCTTGAAGTGGTATGGCTGAAACTTTGCATGCAGCATTTCCTGTTCTCTCCTTGGGACTGGATTGCTGTGGCTTCTCAGTGGCACGAACATGTTCACAGTGTTTTATTTCCTGGGGAATATTGCTGCATTAACCAGTATGAGTTTTTAATGGGCTCCATGAAACAACTGAAGAAAATGTTTGACTCAAGTTTGCTTGTAACAGTTATTCTCTTTTGTTTCCTGTTTACCTTGCGTGCTTCTCTTTGGTGACACATGAAGGAACTGGTTTCATTGTCCTGCATGTTGCACTTCTTATGAATGGCCTGGCGTAGTACCTGTTATGTATCCCAGATGCAAGAGAGTCAGTAGTTAAATGTGATTCTTCTCTCTAAACTGAAAAAAAGAAACTCTTTGAAAAGAGCAAGGGAAATCTGTCCTGCGGTGTTTGGTGCAGTATGCTTTTCTTGATATAATAAGCACTCCATAAACAGCTGCAATAACAATGTCAGGCCATTTGTACTCTGGTACAAACTCCATGCTTCATGAAACTGTTAAATGCTTGTAACTTAAGTTCGCTGTGCATCATTAACAGACCCTTTCAAATATGAGGAGATTTTAATCATCAGCACTTGGAAAATATTTTTAGCCATTTTTAAAAATCTTTTCAAAATAGCTTTGAGATGCGATTATTTAAGGATAAACCTGTGAAGCAAGATGCATGCAACCTTTTTTGGCCCCTTTCAAATATCTACATTTTAAAACACATCTTAAAAGCAATTTTTTTAAATATGAAAGTTTTAACATTCATCTAAAGATTGCTTCTTCTATGTCTTAAAAAGAATATAGAATGCATTTCTAATTTTTAAATAGACCCACACTTGGAAATAAAAAAAGTTGACCAGGATATAAGGAAGGGGTTTATCATTTAATGCTTACAGTTTTTGTTTGGGATGATGAAAGAGGTTTTGGATTAGATTTTGGTGATAATTGTACAACATTGTAAGTGCAATTAATGCCACTGAAGTGTACACTTAAAAAATGGTTACTATTGCCAAATTAAAAAAAAAATCAATAGAAGTGGATACAGAGAAACAAAGACATGTTAAGTCACAAAGGTGGCACTAGCAATAACATTGTGTTTACATCTCCTCTTTTCTCGGTGTTTTTATATTGTTATCTCACTGAATCCTCACAACATCAGTATTATTTTCCTCACCTCATCAATGAGAAAATGAGGCACAGGAGTTAAATGACTGGGAACGTCATTAAATGACTGGGAATGTCTTTAAATGACTGGGAATGTCTTGTCTACTCAAACAGTGAGCCAGGGTTGTA